CTTATCCAAGTCCCTATTACTTAAAATCATTAATACCATTTTCATAACTGGCACTGTTCCCGACTCTTGGTTAATTCAAATTATAATACCTATTTTAAAACCTGGTAAAGACCCCCAGGACTATTCCTCCTACAGACCCATAGCCCTCTCTAATGTCCTTGCCAAGATTATGGAACTATTAGTCAAAAACAGGTTGGAGTGGCTTCTTGAAAACCGCAATATACTGTCTAATACCCAATTTGGATTCAGAAGAGGTAAAGGTTGCTTGGACAGCTTAAGCATTCTTACCTCCGAAATTCGCATAGCTTTTACAAAAAATGAAAATGTATTAGGTGTCTTTTTAGACATTTCATCTGCATATGATAGTGTTTCGCTTCCCTTACTCAGGCAGAAAATGCTTCAGCTGAGTATTCCCGAGAGGCTAATCAATTTTATCTGCAGCTTGTTAATGTCTCGATCAATTTCTGTCCGTCATTGCAACACTCTCCTCCCTTCCCGGTCAGTATGGAAAGGACTTCCTCAGGGTTCTGTCCTGAGCCCCCTGTTATATAATATCTACACCTTTGACTTAGACTGTTCCGTAAATCAATTTTGCAAAATTTTACAATATGCTGACGATATTGCTCTGTACTCCACCTCCCCATCTATAAACGTCGCTACTATTTGTATAAACACTGCCTTACATCATTTAAATGAATATCTTTTGTCCCACAATCTCTCCCTTTCCATTACAAAATGCAGCGCAGTGTTATTTTCCCGTAAACGAAATGTGCCTTCAGTTGCAGTTCGTGTAAATAATACTCCTATTAATCGGTATGATTCGGTGAAATTCTTGGGTGTCACTCTTGATTCCAAACTTTCCGGAAGACAGCATTTAGAACATGTAATTAAAAAATGCGAAAAGGGCGTAAACATTTTAAGAGCACTTACCGGGGTTCGTTGGGGCTCTCATCCTGCCACTCTGAAACTTCTCTATGATGCGGTTATTCGTAGTCACTTTGATTACGGTGGTTTCCTTCTTGATCCCTGTAAGAAAATCGCTTTATCCAAATTAGATAAGATTCAATCTAGATGTCTCAGACTAATAACTGGTGCTATGAGATGTTCTCCAGTTAATGCTCTCCAAGTGGAATGTCTAGATCCCCCCTTATACCTTCGTAGACAATTCCTATCTGATAGATTTTTTTGCGGTGTAGTCCAAATTAAATCCCACCCCCTCCTTCGCTTATTAAAGACTCTCTCTCAAACTATTCCAACAGCTAACTATTGGTCCCACAAAGACCCTCCCTTACTCATTAATTCTTTTAACAAATATACATCTCACTCTTCCCCAATAGAACAGAGTGTTCTCTTCCCCATTTATGAGACCCAGTTTGATGCTCTTATTTTCTGCCCTAGGATTATTCTAAATTTTGGAGTTGACAAAGATAGCCCTGGGGCAAACCTAAAATTCAATAGTATTCTGGAATCTGACTGGCCACAATGGAATACAATTTACACTGACGCTTCAAAATCCTCTCCCGATAGTTCTGTAGGATCAGCTGTATGGATTCCCAAATTTAAAATTATTTTAAGCTTTAAATGCCCCCCTTCGACCTCTATTTTTACAGGAGAAGCGATTGCGCTATTGGAAGCTATCTCTTTTGTTGAATCACACAAACTAAACCAAACTCTAATATTTTCCGACTCCTTAAGTTGTCTAACAGATATTCTAAAAACGCCTTTCCGAGCCCGTGATAATTCTAGCGTCACTCTTAAAATCAAACAACTTCTATACAAATGCCACTGCTCTGACATTGAAGTTATCTTAGCGTGGATTCCTAGCCATACGGGTATCAGTGGTAATGAAACAGTGGACTCATGTGCAAAGGTCGCCGTCCATTCTGGTTGCGACACTTATAAATTTAGCCTCCCTCGTGATTTACGCATCTCTGCTAAATCATCTATGTTATTTAATTGGAATAACACTTGGCAAAGATCTAACCAATCTAAGGGTAAGTACTATGGATCGATTCAACCTTCCCTTCCCTCTAAACCTTGGTATTTAAAACATGGACAAATTAGTAAATCTACAATATCTGTAATATGTCGCCTACGACTGGGCTTCATTGCTACCCCTGTTTTTCTTGCCAAAATCCGCATTCGTAATCATTCCCTGTGTGAATGCGGCTTGGAAGAGGGCTCTTTAGAACACATATTTTTCAATTGCCCGAAACTCAAGGTTCATTTATACGACCTGCTCCCTACCAACATTCCTAGACCCATTAATATTCCATTCTTACTAACTATGGTTCACACTCCCTTGGTAAAGGTCCTTTTTAAGTTTTTATCTACTAACAATATTCAACTTTAATTTCCCATGCCCTTAATATTATTACTACTATGTATTTAGATTACTAACAACTGTGTTGTCCTTTTTCAGAGTCGCAACCGTCATCATCAACCGGTCATTTGTCAAATAGATCTATACTCCGTCTATCTCTCTGTTCTTTGCTACTTAATCTTTTAATCTTCCTTTTTTCGTTTTCAATTACCTTCAACCTTGACGTTGGCGAAATCATCGAAATTAAACGATGGGGTCCACTAGCAACTAAAAGAAGAAGAAGAAGAAGAAGAATTCTATAAATATGTAGCTCATGTAAACAACCTTTTTTATTTGCCTTAGATTTTTGGTTTGAATTCTTTCTCATTTAGTACTTTAGCGTAATTGGTCTAAGCTGTAGGTTGCTCCCAACCTAACTTCGTTTTTGTTTTTCCCACGAGATAGAAGTGTTATACTCGGCCTTTACGACTTAAGGCAGTTAAATCAATTTCGACAAATTAATCATGGTAAGTTCATTTTCCTAATAAAAGATTTGCTTATTTTTAGATGGTCAAGGAGCAATGTTGTAAACATGCTACTGCTAGGGGCCCAATGCAGCATAATTAGACAAAATTTGGATGTAATACAAATATACTCAATTGTTTGCATTAACAACATAAGCTTGTGCAATATTTTGCATGAGTAACACACTCATGGTTCCCAAAAATTTGATAACATTGTGCAATCAAAGAACACAAAAAATATATTCAATATTTTTAAAATGACTTCTGGATTTTATTGGATTTTAATTCAAAAATGTTATTAAGCTTAACAACATCAGGCATTATCTACACCAAAGCAACCAGAGTCAACTAACAAAAGATAACTAAATTACAATACAGTTATTTGTATTTAGAAACTTGATAAAATAATTTTTACTAATAATGTGTTCTCAGGCTAAATCAAATAGACCTCGTGTCTGTATTATTGGTGCTGGGATTGCTGGTCTTACTTCTGCAAAATATTTAAAAGATGAAGGAATAGACTTTACGGTACTAGAATGTTCATACTACGTAGGTGGTATGTGGAGATATGACTCATGGAGAACTTATGACGAATTTGACTCAATATTGCACACGGCTATGATTTTTGATTTAAGGTAAGCCACTATATTAAGACATATTCTAAGTATTGAAATGGATTGTGGGTGTTTTCGAAATTAATTATTATAAAAAAACAATTTCTTTAAAAAAATCCTAAGAGTTGCTTTTGTTGTGTGGGTAACATGTTAAGCTGTTAATCTTTAATTAATGAAGTTAATATTTTTCTAACTTCACAATATCTTTAAAAATACAAGTCACATAGTCGAAACTGATAGACAAATAAAAATAGTGTGGAAAAAGTTCTGGTCATTAAAAGAAATACTAAAGTCAAAATTATCTCTCAAAATAAATAAAAAAGTCATAGAAATGACCATACTTCCGTGTTTTTAGACGACGCCCAAACCTGGATCATCATCATTAACTCACTATACATCCCCACTGAGGGGCTCCTGGGCCCCCCCTAAGTTAGAGGTGACTAGGCGATAGTCAACCATGCTGCCCTAATATGGGTTGGTTACTACCAAACCTGGATTGGACCTTGTCTGTAAAACTTTTCGAAAATACCTTCCTGTCAACAAGCTATGGAAAAAAGCATCTAGAATATCAAAATAAGCCAAAAAAATTATAGTCATACCATAAAATTAAGAACAAAGTTAACAGCTGCAGTACAGCAAGCGCAGCACCTTAAATATAAATGGGCGGGACATGTGATGCTCACCCGATGATTCCCGGTGGATGAAGCGAGTTACATTATTGCCTGATCTGGGAAGAGGCAAGAGAAAAAGAGAAGGAATCTAACACTTTAATGATTAACAAAGTTAACTTTGGGATTAACTGTTCCACCTGTGGTTATGTGTAGATTTTGGTGAGAATCCAATGTAACACAGATCAATTGCAGATAATTAAGTCAAAAATTTGAAACATGATTATTAATATAGGCATTATACATAACCATCTATTTTCATATTTTAAATATAGTACATTTTTTTAAAATATAATATAATAATAGAACATATATAAAATAGTACACCACAGGCTGCGGAATCCCATCACTCAAGCAACCAGCAGTCAGGACAGTAGAGGAAGGGACCTTCTTGTTATGGGTGCGGTTTCTTAAACATATCGGGTTCTTAGTCCAACTGTTTAGTGACGGCTTCTTAAGATGTTGGTGGAAACTCTTCATTATCATATAATTATTAATATTTGCATTTCAATTATTTCTTAGAACTATTTAATCCAAAGGAATTGAGTACCTATCTTATCAACATAAGATATTGCTATATATGACATTTACAATAAATATGTATTATCTGATAAGCATAAAATTTTACATTAAAAAACTTTATACTTCTATTTCAATTACTTTGATTGCAATGATTTTTTTTTTTAAGTTAAGGTTAAATAGGATTTTACTTTGACTTTGATTTCTCATGCAGTTTTTCAATGCATTAACCTAATATAGCTCTAAAATTATTGCTTTACTACATAACTCCGCGCGCATGGAATTAAAAAAAAAAACTAATTATTAGCATATGTGATCTTCCAGACTATATCCTACATTCAAGCCAAATTATATAAAGATCTGTTAAGCTGTTCTGGAAATACCTTCAAACAAACATCCTTGTGTTTTTGTTAATTTTTTTAATTTGAATTTTAGATTAAATATACCACATCCTGCAATGGAACTCCCTGGATACCCTATGCCAAAACATTTGCATTTTTTTCCCTATGCGCAAACGTATTACTACTATATCAAGTCTTATGCAGAACATTTTAACTTAATGGAGCATATACAGGTAAATTGATAAACATCAGAATAACTACATTTTACTTAGCATTTAAAAAATCCAGCAAATGAGAACCCACATAAATTTTTGGGTTGATAAAAATAAAATCACATTATTTTACATAGTTTCAAAAAAGGTCATTATTTTAGAACGTATGTAACGAAATAATTTAAACGGAATTATTGAAAGGGCAGATTTAGTTCAATAGATGATGTTTAAAAAAATCAGTTTATAATGTGTCTGTTTAATATTGACAATTATCTAGTATGACAAATCATTTCACAATTCACTAGATATAGGTTAAGTAAAATCGATTATAAAAATTTTCAATGGTTTTTGAAATTGTTTTTTACATATTAC